GTGTGACTCTCCGGGTCGGCATCCCGCGAGGCTTTTCCAAAAACCACCACGAGTCTCTCCCACGAGCTCGAGCTCATTCAGGGGAATCCACGGGACTCCCACGCGTGACACTGCGTCCTCTCCTTCTGTAGATGCGATTCTCTTATTAATAAATCGATGGCAGGCTCAGATTTCCAGATTTTTTCCCCACAAATTTCATAATTTGTAAAGTTATAATATTAAAAACTCTACTGTAAGCAAATGAAAAATACTTTTAAAGGAAATAAGGTAACCTGCTAAAATCACTACATTGTTGATACAAAAAAAACAAGCAATTGGGGAACAAACGAATTGTTATGAATATGACAAAATGCTTCTAAATCAAACGTTTACATTTGATTTTTTTCCCCTTATTTAAATAACCAGCACAAACCCCCTATCAATAAGAGACTAAACTTATTAGAAAAAATAAAAACACGACAAATTCAACGTAATTTTTTGTCGTTATATAAATCATACAGTGAAAAAACAGATGCAGTTTGTCTTGTCGTTACCTCGTATATATCTTCATACTTGACATTTTCCACCAGTTTCCACAGCATGTTCGCGCGCTGATCCCTGTGTAACGAGTGCATTCATGTGAAGAGTGAAGATCTCAACTCTCTCCCTGCCTCTCTCTCTCTCTCTCACTCACTCACAGAAAACGTAAAGCTCGTAGAAAAATTCCCGATTCCCCTTTACGGTGTTTGTCTGCGTGTGTGCTGTAACGGCGTTGATACAGTGAAAGTCTAATGTTAAGTGTGTTGACTTTGGGTTGTATGTAAAAGCTGCTGCGGGGGATTCGCTGAGACTCCAGCTCCATCATCAACTGCAGATGAAATGGCGGTCTGCCATTTTACAGGACCGAATCAACGTGTTATTTAAAGGAAACAGAATAAAAAGCATTAACCACATAACCTAAAATAATCAATAGATTTGATATATAATTTCAAAAGTCATTCTTGCAAAGTCAATAAACAGGAAAAGGCGGCTTGGTAAACTCTATAGGAGGTAGACTACTGTGCTGTGCAACTGTTTAATCACTGAATAAGCGAAACGCGAGGGTTCTGATCGCTCAGTTTTTGCTACAACTCTCCGTCATTGCTGTAGCAAACATTAGCCTACCTCAAAGACACTAGCAAGAAAGCGAGGTCAGATGTCCACAGCTGCCTCTTATACAGTTACAGCGATGCAGCAGTGATGAGAGGCAGTCCAGTGCGCCCCCTGCTGGTCAGTTAAACACGTACTACTTAAACACTGAAAAGAGAACAAAAAGCTCGTTTCAGGTTGACTGGAAATAGAATAACAAAACGTTTCAGCTCCGTTTGAGACGAGGTCAAGCAGTACTAAACTTCATGTTATCGTGATACTCACGGTTTCTAAAATATCTGACATCCATAAGAAATGCGGTGCTCATTCCAGCTCCTGCAGAGTTTAGTCCCAGCCCCGCTCTAACACACCTGCCTGACCCTCACAAAGCCCCGCCCCTTGGTTACTGTTGCTATCTCAGACAAGCTGTAAAGAAAGTTCTGTGGGATCAAACTGTTTTCTAGTTAAACGTGATCAGGCGGTAAAATAGAACGGAATTTATTCTTAAGTAGGTTGGAATGAATCGTCGCTAAGCATTTTAAAAAAAATCTCCCTTTTCTTAAAGGAATTATTAAATCACACCGCAAAGCGATTAATAACTGCAAATCAGAACTGAGGCAAACACTAAAATAAAGTAAGAGAATCAAGTGATCACATTGTGAACTAACGCGTAACTGTGAACTTTTTTTCAGCACTGCTGCAATGACCTGAATCATCACGCAAATGAAAACGAACATTAGTCTGCCTTGTTTTGCCTTATTTTAAAGATGTATCTGGGAATGAGATCTGACACGTTATTTAAGCATTTAAAAAATGATCCTCTCGGTGTAGCACTCACCAACAACGTTTTACCGTATTTTTGGATAATTTCCGCAAAAAAAAAATGAATTTAAAACTATGCAAAAACACACAAATCCTCCAAAGACTGACATTAGACAACAGCAAAAGCTTACATGAATATGGCGGACAAAAAGTCCCTAAACCAAAAGTCCTTCCAAATAAATAAATAAATGAATAAATAAATAAATATATAATAAATAAATGGAAACAATAAACTAAATAAAACATAGTTTATGTAAAGTTATAAGCAGGGCAGACCAGGTAAAATTATTACAGCTTTTACTCCTGCAAATAGTATATATTTACTCCTGCAAATAGCTATATATTTTTTAGGGTAGGTTTATTTCATTATCCGTTTTTAAAGACAAATCTTAAAGTCTTAACAAAAAACAAAAAAAACCTGTCTACTGAACATCATTACTGCTCAGGAAAAATAGGCTACAGGTAATTGAGCACAAGTTGATTTTTTTGTGACAACATGCCCCAGTCGCAGACACATATAGTGGCCAAAAGTTGCCACAAAGGGAGCCTGGCATTAGAATAGCCTGCTGTCTGCAACATGTAAACAATAAAGCAATTACGCAACACAAACAATTCATGAAACAGCAAAATTACTAAAGGTAACAAACATACAAAAAATATGATTGTAATTAATTGTCATTAATAACTCAAATAAAATGTAAAAATAATTATAAAAAATAAAATAAACACAAAAATAAAATTAAGGTAGACTGAATAATTATTTATTATTTATACACATTATTAATAATTTAAATTATTTTATTCCATTCAGTGTAATTAATTTCAGTGCTGTAATTTTTGGTTAAGTAAGAAATTCAACACAAGCACTTACAATTATCTTATAATTTTGCATTTAAAGATTGGAGACTAATATATTTAAAAGCATACTAACATACTAAGATGCTGCAGTATGACAGACAGTTGCAGCCACTGAGCCAATGTTTCTGTTCATGTAGAAAAGGAACAATTCCCCCTTCCTGCACAAGAGGTCACTGGGTCACTAGAAATACACAGTTTTCCTATTTTGTTACTGATAATTGATTTGTATTGTCAACATTTTGCTATACATCTCCTAATATTTTCCAGAATTATTTAAATCAACTAAATGTATACTGTGGGACATTTTTGTCCCTCACACTGTGAGACTAACTGAGCTCACTGATCTTGACCCAGTTTCATGTCAGTTTCTCAGATCTGTTTCATTGGCCATTAAGATGCTGCTTGAGGTATGGAAATGCGAAATGAAAATAATTTGCGATTAATGTTTCAGCAGCCCTGCTGCCACAGAGACAGTGCCAGAGCCACACACAAACACACACACACACACACACACACACACACACTCACGCTCACTCTGGGCATGTCTAGAGGCCATGACAGATGTCCAAACAGTTTGAGAGCTCATTCTGAACAGACTTTGATTAGAATTCAACATAATCACACATTCAAATTCTCACAGAACACAAAAACACATGAGCACACATATATTCCCACACATACACACATGCACGTGTGCACAAACTTTGCAAAAACATGTTTTTGTCACATTTTCAAATCATAAAAGCAGAGATATAAAAAAAAAATAAAGAATGATTACATTTGGTATTGTTATAGGTGTCCACATTTTTTACTAAAATTAAAATGTGCACACCTTATAAAAAATATGTGAACACTTATATGCACTTATATGTATATTATATAGGTGTGTGTGTGTGTGTGTGTGTGTGAGCTCAACCATTGCCTGCAATTACACATGCTGGCCACAAGATAGCGCGCGAGTAACGCAATAAAGATCCATTGAGTTTCTGTTGAAGACTTTCAAAAGAGGGAAGAAAGTCTTCAACTATGATAAACCAAGTCCAGATGCTTCAGATTCTTCCAGATTGTACGATGACTTGTACAAATAATAATCTTCACAAACACGTTTCCCATTGGACCTTTAAAGTTCTCTCTGTGTGGAAATTTGCCCAGTAAAATCTGAGTGAAATTCAGGGATGTCCTTACTCGTAAACACTATTCATAAAGTAGACTTTTTACTTATTTATTTATTTTAATGTGAATAGTTTAGCCAATTATCGTTGTTTAAATACAATGAAAAATCGATGGTATGGTCACTAGATAGGTAGTCTAAATAGGCTAAATGTTTATGGTTGGACTTTTTGGTAGGCTACACCAATTCAAAAGCGATAATTATAGCCTATAATATCAACATCTAGTGCATGCGTGTACGACTAGGCTATATAATCTAGCTAGACCTTCGTTTTATCTGAATAAAGTTGTGGGGTCTATTATTTATGATTATTTAACTCAGAACTGCTGCTGGAACAGTCTGGTTAGATCGGTTGAGTATAAAATTTACTTTCAAAATGGATGTTTGTTTAAATAGAATAAGTGCCAATTGTTTGGTTGTGAGTAGCCTGGCTTCTCTGTATTTTCTCATGAAGACTTTTCATTTGCATTATACTTTTTGAACTTAATTAATTACTCACCGCGTAAACTAGGTCGAGTCTATGTTTTAGCGTATTAAATGAAAGCGGAACTTTACGTATTGAACGTCACACATGCATTAGAACTGCCCACACTGATAAAAACACACTCGTGATCAATAAATGCGCTAATTATGCGTCAAGGCTATTTGGGTTTTCCTAAAATGGTGTTATTGGGCTAGGATATTTAGGCTACGTTTGTTAACGTTGACTGGTCGCTGATTATTGAAAGTAGGCTACTGAGATCAGACAGCTGTTTCCTACAATAACAACAAAAAAAGTGAATATGAATGCGAATCTCTTTTATCTTGTGCAAAGCTTCGCATCGATCTGTCAGTCGGTTATTGACTTTGTAAGGCCTTCCGGTGCAGCATCGTGTTGGTCTTTCTGTGATGTTAATGATCTGTTCTGTTTGGGTGCTTATTTATTCTACATCAACCAATTTTTTCTCTAAATGTATATTCCATCGTAGTCCAAAGAATCAGGTTTAGCTGCATTGTGATTGTTTTTTAGAATTAATATAATCCAATAATTGTATAAATAAAGCTAGTCCAGAATAGGTGTTGGTCTAGAGGAACCGAGCGGAGATCGATCCTGACTTAACAAATCCTGAAATTCCTTACAGATCTGCCTGCGGAGACACACAGCCATTCGAACAGTTACAAGGACGCATCACCAAAACGCAAACCAAAGCAGCGTTCCTCATAATTAATGCATAGAGGAGATTTAATGAGATCTTAGTTTTCATATGTTACACGCATGCAAACACACATGCTTTCCTCCAATCCTCAATAATAAATCCTCATTCCCTAAGGTGCATCTGCTTTTGAAGATGAGTTCTTATGTAGCCAGACTGCACTAGATAAATCACATTTGGTGCATTTGGTCTCATTTAGGAATTCATTATTCAAGAGTTCAAATGTATATCCAATAAAGTGGTATGGATAAACTAATTTGGCTAAAAGTACTAAAGATTTGCTGTCTTACTTGGTGGCCAGCACCATTTTCTTGCGCGCGTTCTGCTCCTTTGGTTCCGTGTGCTGGCGGGCGAGATGCTCCCCGACCGCTTTGGTGGGAAACTCGGTCTCACAGGTGTAGCCAAAGTCCCGAGCCAGATGTAGCGCT